GGGCTACTCTTTTACCAACGAATAGTGGGATTGACCGTAACATTATAACACCCCCACGGCTGAAAGGGCGAGCATGTTTGGTGGGACGGGGATTCGAACCCGCGACCCTCAGATTGCGAGTCGAGTACCCTAACCACTTGGCCATGCCGGGCCTTATGGGTGTGTTAGAGTTAGCTAACTGCGATGAATTTGATGACTTTGAGGAACCCACTTTTTAGAACTTATAAGTTTGCAGACGGTTTGAATGGGCAATAAAGAAAACTTTATTATAAATGTACAACGTTTTGACGAAAAATGGAAACAAAACCCTGTCACAAATGAAGAAAGACAACTAATTACTGAAGATCTTTATTTTTAGCTAAAGAAAACTGACTCTCACACACCACAACTCTATGTAATTCCCAAACCACACAAACAGGACTGCCCCATACGATCTATACTATCAATTTAGGGCTCGTTTAACTAAACATTTGGTAAATATATAATCTTACTTAACACCCACAGGTTCCTTTATTTAAAATGTCTTTAACTTTAGAAACATTAAATCAACTAAACCTAAAAGTCTTGATGGCTTGCTTTGACTTTGCGTCACTTTTCACCGAAGTTCTCATCAGGGGAGCTTGTAATATTGCACTTGACCTCTATCATAATGGCTCTAATAGTTTAACTCATATCCCCAGTTCACTTAGTTTAATTCATATCCCAAGTACACTTTTTTGTTTCCCTCTTAGAATTAACAGCAACAAAAACCGGCTTCATTTTCAGGAAAAACAACTTTTTTTCAGGCAGATGGTTTAAGCATAGGCAACCCTGTTTCACCTGTTCTCGTCAACGTATTTATGACCAAATTCGAAACACAAGCCATACAATCCGCGCTTTATCCTCCCTACACTGGTACAGACATGTCGATGACACTTTTGATGGTTTCACTTCTACCACACATATACATACTTTCTTTGAACACATAAACTCCATTCACCCGAACATTGAATTCATCATTGAACATGAAAATAACAAACAGTTATATTTTCTTAACCTCAACATTATCAGATCCGACACACAGTTCAAAACCAAAATTCACCGAAAAAAAAATCAACTCATACAGGCTTCTACATCCCCTGGAATTCCGCCTATGAATTCAAACATAAAATCAATATACT